CTGGAGTTGGTGCTGAAGGGCTGGGCACATCGAGAGGGGGTTACATGGTGTGTGGGATGGTCGTGACTCTGGGGTGCCTCATGCATTGGAAGCAAGCCTGTACATGGGAATTTGGGCACTGTGTGATGCCCACTGCGCCCACTGCCTCTCCGTGGCCCTCCGTGCTTCAAGGGGGCAGGAGGTAAGATGGGGGTTCAGGACCTGGCCCCGATCCTTGTGGTTGTATTTCTGCCAGTTAGTAAGGGTGCTGTACACTTCTTTATTAGTGGCAGGACAAGCTGTGCAAGCAGGTATGTTTTCCAGGAAAGACCAGCTACCTGGCCTGGGGCAGCGTGGTGTGGAACATGAGCACTGGGTGAGCAACTCTGGGTTCCAGTCCTGACATTCACTGACAAACCTTAGCCTGTTTGGGAGTCACCAGTCTCACAAACGGGAGGAGCTGGGATGGTGTGAGACATGAGCGGGTCAAGCCTGGGGGTGGGACCTGGCGTCCCCCGCGACTGTGGCACAGCAAGGCTGGGCACCGGCTGCCAGGCATCCCTTTCCTTAGAGCTGGCTGAGTCCCACCTGCCTCTCAGGGCTGACTTCATCCTGCTGTCCTGGCTCATGGTGGGCTCCCCGCTGCTGGAATGTACACTGAACAACAGGACCTTCCATTGCCTTAGCTTCCCAGAAGTGCCTGGCACCTGAAGCCCAGGAAGCAATGACTGGGGGAGTGAGCATGGGATTCTGCAAGCCCCCTTCCCATTCCTGTCCCCGACTGTACCATGCTGTAGTCTTGCTTATTTCTTCCTCTCCTCTCTGGACCGGCAAAGACTCCATACTCCACTCATTCCTCACCTGAATGCTGGGTTTCTTTCGCGGTGGCTGGAGGCTCACAGGTGTGCTCTTCTGCCCTCTGCTGGGAAAACCGGGAACTGCCTCATCCCAAAGGCAGGGACAGAATCCAGAATGGGGGAGAGGCAACAATTGCATTTAGGGGTGCTTGAGTCAGGGTCGGCCAGGCTGTTGGATATTATTTTTTGATCGCTCTAACATAGGAAGGCGCCTAACATACGCCTCCCCCTCCCAGCCCAAATTCTCCATGAATACACTGGGCCTTGCAGGCTGTGTCCTCTGGGATTGGATTTCTCCTGCCCTATCTCTAGATGTTTTGCTCAGCCGGATGGGAACATGGGTAAAACACCCCTCTCACAGGCTTCCCTGAGCTGCTCAAGGTCACACAACTGCTGCTGCTGAGCCTGGGACAACCTGGCCCAGGCAGCACTGTGTATGTATGAGGGGTGGGGAGGGGGGTCGACAAACCTCAGCCCTTTGTTTTCTAGTGCCAGGGAAAGAAGGCCCGGGGTGCCTCAGCCACAGCCTCCCACCCGAGGTGCTGGCAGAGACCTGTGTGTTACATTTGGCTTCTTCCGGGGGTTCGAACCTCCTCCTGCAGACTCCCGCAAGGTTTGACACGTGGTCATTTTGCATCCCTTCACCCTGTAGCACCAGGGGCAGAACGGTTGGGCACACCAACTGGCCCAGTGTCACGGAGTTTTGCTGGGGAAACAAGCCAGCCCAGGTCACGGGGTAACGTCCATGGGGACTCTAGCCCATGTAGACATCCCTCAGTGTTTCCCTTTAAAAATATTCTGCCCCAGTTGATGGTATGGCTCAGCCCGTGAGTCCCCATTGTGGTTTTTACTGTTGTTACCGTGGCCACCAGGACGTGTGTTTACAACTCCTCACTACTTGACAGTCCTGGCTGGAAAAAGTGCCCTCGTATGCACCCTGGTACTGAGTGACTGGTCACTTAGAGGAATTCAACGAGAGCTTTTTGAATGAATGACTTTTAGTCATTCAGCACATGGGATTAATGCATTGGTGACGTCAGCACCTCTCAATAGCGCCACCCGCTGAGAACCAAGCCTTCAGCACATGAGCCTTTGGGGCCATTTTATTTCCAAACCACAGCACCTCTGTGTTCACCAGACAGGCCCTCCTTTCCCAGTCCTCCAGCCCCAAGGACCACCACCAGAGACAAACACTATCTCACTGTGTTTCAGAGCCGCTGGCTGTAAACCGGCTTTGTTAAGAAGAATCCATGACAGGCCGTGTGAGTTAAATCACAACGGAAGGACACACTTCGCATTTCAGGGAATTTGTAAGGATTTGTTGCAAGTGAGCCTCAGCATAAAACCAGTCGTCACACAAGTGCATGCTTTGCGTCAACTCGGAGATCATCACCCGTAGAGGACCATGACATTAAACGCCTTCGGAAAAAATGTCAACTGAAAATCAGAAGGGAAACGAAACACAGTAGGAAGAAATGGGGGAAACGAATAGTCTTTCTAGATTCTTTGAATACAGGGTTTCTTGTCACCAATTCCCACCTGAGGAAGAGAGGGGGCTTGGAGGGAGGCTGAGGCTGGGCTCAGCTTCCTGACTTTCTGCTCCTTCGTCAGGGTTAACATTTCTATGTGGCACCTCTCACCCCTAGGGGGCCAGTACTCTTTGGGCACAACCTTCAGGGAGAGCTGCCTCTGGTGACCTGTCCCTGTCTACCCAGCGCTAAACATTGGGCTCTCCTTTCCCTCAGCTGGAGGCTGCCTCCCAGGGATGGGTTACACCCATCATTCTCCATCCCAAAGGCAGGCAGGGAAACCAGAAGCCGATGGCTGGTCCCCTCCTGGGTCAGTGATCACCACACGCTTCCCATCCTTCAACTGCTCCACCTTCATTTTCTATGTTGGACCCCCCCGCACCGCCATCCCTGCCCTACTGGACCTGTAACTGGTCACTGTTACTTGTAGGGTGAGGTCAGGACTAACAGTTGGCTTGACTGCAAAGGATCCTGCAGACTTGTCTGCATCATTAAGAGGACACTGTACTGCTGTGGACGGGACGAGTCAAAGTGACCAAAGAATGCCTCAAGCAAAACTCCTGCCATAATCCTACAGGTAGACTTTTAATTTATACCTAAAAAATGCATCGAATTGTTATGGGTTCATCTTCCCGACCTGCTGGAGTAGAATAGAAACCCCACCCAGAGTCGTCTAGTTGCCTCCTGTGTTCAGCTCGCTGGCAGAGCCCGCCAGGAGGCGCTAGGTGCACCTTTTAAAGACAGCAAATCCAGGGAGAGAGCCAATTAAAAGCTGAAATCTTGCTGCTCGGTTGAATTTTTGACCTTGGTGTACATACTTGACGACCTGGCTTACCTGGATAAGCAAGGGCTCTCTCCCATCTGCCTCAAGGAAGTGATGTGGCACCCAGGAGTCCGCTGGGTCCACATGCAAGCGTGCCTCACCTGTCAGCCAGGACCGTCCACCTTTCAAACATGGGGCTGTGATCCACTTGTGTGAGCACCATGTGGTGGAGGTGACGGGTTCCCTCCTCCCTCCTGTCAGCATCTCATCCCCTTGTTCTCAGGAAGTCTGCAGGCCTGGGGACCTGGTCTTGCCATGGACACAGAGGCTTCTCCATGCCATCAGGTCCCCACATCCTCTCACTGAGAGTGGCCGGCCTGCTCATCCTGGCAGATGCTGAGCCCCCCTGTATCGCGAGATGCCCAGGCTCGTTCTGGGAAGATGACCGTTAGTGGGCCCTACATGAGGGACTCAGAACCGTCGGGCCCTGTCCTGGGGGCCTGTGGCTTTCTTGCCTCTTGCACATTGGACAGACAATTCCATTTGGTGGCCAGGTCACTGGTACAGCAGCAGACTGGGTGTCATTTCCAAGACTTTCCCATTAGTTTTCCAAGATGACCTACTAACCATAGGAAGACACTGCTCGAAAGAGAACCTCTCTGCAGAGCAAGTGTGTAGGCAAGAAAGGCACAAGTTAAACAGGACACCAAAGAGGAACGCAGCAATAGAAACTAAGGGTTTCTGGGTTGAACTCACCTAGGTGTCCCCCCCCCACCACGCACCACTGTAGCCGCTCAGCGCAGGCCCAGCTGTCCGGAGGCTGATTTGCCTTGGAGACGCATTTGTGGTGTTTTGCAGGAGCCTGAAGCTCACGACTCTTGCTTCTAGACCTGATAGCAAAGATACCCACAGCGTGTCCATTACCGTGGCAGGGCCTGAGCAGAGGGGTCTCACTGGCCATGGGATTCTGAGGTTCCACCAGATCTACCAGGCTGCACTGGGCCTCTCCTAAGAACCACTTATGGGTGGGCCTCTATGGTTTGACCTTCAGTGTCCCTGAAAGATCATGTGTTGGAAGCTTTGTCCCCAGCCTGTGGTGCTATTTGGAGATGTTGGGCCCAGTGGGAGGAGGTTAGGTCACTGGGGTGGGGGGGTGTCCTTGAAGGGGGTTTTGCCACCTCAGCCCCTTCCTAGCTTTGCTCCACTTTGTCCTTCTGCCTTGCCACAGGCCCAAAAACAATGGAGCCAACCACAGAACAAAACTTCTGAAACCCTGAGCCAAAGTAAACCGCCCCTTCTTAAAAGTTAATTTTCTCAGGCATTTTGTCCCTGTGACAGGCAGTTGACACGGGGCCCTTTCCTGGTCGCAGAAAGGACAAAATGTCAGCCTGAGAATGAACTCTCCCTATGGCATCTCCAGTCCTGGAGGCCACACACCACTCTTACCTTCTGGAAGGACAGAGAGCCCACCACAGCCTCCCCTCAGCCCTCAGCAGAACCAGTTTTCCGGCGTTTACAGAAAATGAGTGGCAACGGAGCACCACAATCTGTGACCACTCCAGCTGCACAGAAATGGCGGGGTCACTGCCACACAGAAGCCGTGCCCCCTGCTGAAGTCGGGCCTGAGGCTGCTTCGTTGGGCAGGCACCTAAAATACGACTAGATGTCATCTCCCGTCATCCACAGGGACTGCTGGAAACCACGGGCAGCGTCAAACCCCACACGTGCGTGTTTCTATACACGGTTTTTTCCTGTATTTACACACCTGTGACCGCTTAACTCAACTCATACATCAGGCCCAGTAAGAGGTGAACAATCAGAGAACGCCGTAACGAGTTGTTTAAACCTTAAGAATTGTTTATTTCTGGATTTTTCCATTTAGTGTTTTTGGATCACAGTCGACCTCGGGTAACCGTGGATGAGGAGGGGGATGGCCGACTGCATCCACGCAACTACTGCCATAACTGGATTTCTTTTATAAACTTCTTTTAGTGGTTCGGGATTCCAAGAGCCACCAGATCACACAATAGGAAGGCAAGGTTTACAGAGTAATTGTGTCTCTGTCCCTTGAAACAAATCCACGTGACTAACAAAGAATCGACATCTAAATAGACTTTTATTTTTATCTGGACAGAAAAGAAAATTCATCGGCCTTCGATAATCTCCTTAAGTGCTGGGAACGTGTTAACTCAGAAATAGTGGGCCTTGTAGAAAAGCATCACAAATTAAAAATATATTTCTCCATGTGGTAAAAGTGCTTTCGATCCAATTAAAGGGCACAGCAGAGGTGTCAGAAACACAATCTAAAATTTGGCCTACAGTCCGTGGCACTGAGTTCACACCCCAGGGTGAGGTCCTCGCCAGGAATGAGGGCACAGACAGTAGGGAGGTTAGGGGCTGCCAGCAACACAGGTGACTGAGTGTGAGAAGAGAAACGTCTCAAAGCCTGAGTCGAATAGATTCTGCATCTGTAGAGATGGGGTGACTATGAACTGGCCTAGGAGGCACTGGATAACCCAGAAGTTGCATGTCCGTGGGGACAGTGGGCCCGGTCGTGCTCCCATGGGGACGTGTAAACCTTGGGTGGAAAGAGCCCAGGCCTGTGGGAAAGAGCTCGCATAGCAGTGTGGCCCCATGTCAAACCACACCCAACCCAGGCGGCCACCACTGTCCCAAGCCAGCTGTGCCTTTGAGGAGCCACACACACACACACACACACACACACACACACACGGAGAAAAGACAATTAGCAAATGTCTGTCCTCAGCAGAGGGCTTTGTTTCAGCAACACTACACATGTCTCAAAACAAGTAATTCTGCCACAATGGTGACTGTGACAAAGCTCCCGGGCCTCAGACTCCCCAGTCCTTGACGGCTGCAACCATTTCATCCCGGAAGCCAGCGGCCCTTCCCGCCCTGCCACAGGCCAGACACAGAACTGATCATGCAAGGGATGGTGAGAGGGTGCGGAGAGAGAAGAAGGACACTGCTCCTTTACAGTAGACCTTAAGCAACAGTAAGAAAATAACCTGAAGATAGATAGATTTAAAAATAAAAATAGCGTCACCTTCTGCTGCGATCCCAGCTAGTCCCACTCTGGGCAGCTCCCCACCAGCCCCACAGAGGATGGGGCAAGAACACCCCCCGCTCTGCGTTTTAATGGCACCAGGTTGTGTTTCTTCTTTTAGGAGGGGCTTGCAGAAGGCAAACACTGAAAAGCCCCAACCCCCCATGCACCTGCACCATTATCCACGTAGACCGTCTTGTGTGCTCAGCTGGCACCAACGTGATCGTGTCCATCTCTGGGAAGCAGCCGTTCCTCTCAGAGAACACTCAGCTCATCCTGCCGTTGGTGCCGTCCGCCATCACAGCCCTCTGGTCACCTGAGCTCTCCCACGCCACGCGTGGGAGCCACACCCCCAAGGAGACGTGCTCCTCTCTGAATGCAAACCTTCTGATTGCACTTGGGCCTGTGATGGGCAGATAACTGTCAGGCTCCCTCCTCTTCCCTGCCACTCCCGGGCTGGCGCACAGCCTCAGTGGACCGGTGATTCATCCTCCAGGCCCAGTAGCTCCCTGACGAGTCTCTCCCCGAACTGTGCCCGGCTATACCGCTTCACGTGGTAGGCATCCGACATCTTGTACAAGATGTAGGCGTTGTTGACGGCGATGCTGATGGCGAACCAGAACACCTGCTGCCAGGTCTTGTTTGGCTTGTGAGAAATGAAATACCTGAGGGCGGAGGAGACAAGGCAGGCTGAGCGTCACTCATGCACCCAGAGGGGGCCAGTGACTCGGCCTGAAGAACCAGCAAACCCTCTTCAGGGAAGAGGGCTGGGGCAGGCAGAGGCCAGCCGGGGGGAGGCTCTGGCACAGGGAACGTCACACAAGACACAAGAAAGCAGGAGGGGTGACAGGGCTTCCAGGAGATGCTGGAAATCTGGTGTCCTATGGTTTGGGGCACAAGCCTGGACATGACAGGCCTCACTAGGCCCCGAGTGTCCCTGCTTCCCAAAGCCCCTCAGACACCCTCATCTCAGGACTACCTTATATTCTCCATCTGTCCTGGCTATAAGGACTTGAGGACCAGGGTCCTCAAAACCACCACAGTGCCCAGCATGGAGCAGGCCCCGTGAGTGGCCACTAATTACACAGTTGATTCATAAAGGCAGAGTGGGAGTAACTGTTCACCAGGGGACTTTTGCAGAAGAACTGGGTCCTGGCTTTTCCCCTCCCTGCCATGACCAAGGCCGGGCAGTGGAGGGTCCCCAAAGATGGCCAAGCAGACATCCAACCTGCTAGCAAATTAGTCCAGCCCTGTACTAGGTGTGACACATGTCCCCAGGGACTGAGGTCTCTGCATGCTCAATAGCCTTCCTTCTCCTGACCCCTTTGAGGGCTGTGGTGACACTGGGAGGGAGACGGGCTATGGCACATGTACACTGTCCAAGCTGCGTGCACATGACACACGCCCCCACGTCTGAAGGCACTAAGGACTCAGGCAGGGCACGAGGCGAGAGAGGAGGTACGCAGGCTATAGCCTGGAGGACAGGGCTGAGCTGTGTGCCGAGACCCACAACGGGGTCCGTGGAGGGAGGAGCCCCTCAGCAGGGACCCAGAGACCTCCCAGAGGCACGGCAGGTGCATGGCCAGACCAGGGACCGTGACGGGGCTTCACGCTTCAGATCTAAACTGGGGAAGGAGGGCCCCCCGCACACCCGTGCCACCATGTTGTCCTCTGAGACCAGCCCCGCGCCCTCACTTGCTGTACTTGTCGTCGTATCTGCAGATATAGCTGAGGTGAGCAGCAAACGCCTCCACGGCCAAGGGGCAGGGAATCTCGCCACTCCTCCTCTTGATGATGACCCCTGTGGGGAAGGCAGGACAGGGCTGGTCTCCAACACATTTCCACACCACTTACAACGGCCTGGCTGCCCTGTTCCTCCACCGCCTTGCTCACGGTAACGAGTGTGGGGGGGTGGCTAAGGAGGACACAGCCACCAGCACTGGTCACTTCAGAAGAGCAGAGGAAACTCAAGCTCAGTTGAGAGAAAAGCTGTCACCAAGATTCAGTGGCCTGTTACGGCTTCATGGACTTTGGGGACGATGACATGGCACAGACAGGGTACAACCCTGGCAGGCCTGGAAAGAACAGGAGAGGACACAGGACTTAATCTCCCGCTAATGGCACAGCACGAGGCCCGAGAACCACAGGGGACTGAGTCTCCGTCCTGATGACACTGCGGGGTGGCCCACCTCCCCAGGCCCGTGCCCAGCTGCCCAGTCCTCCACGGCCACAGCAATGAGGACGAGGTGTCCACCCCAGCAGTCACAAGCCCTGGCGTGGCTGGGGTTCCCCTGCTCTTTCCTCTGACCAGTCTCCTTGAGGGAGTAGTCAGATGTGGACGCGGTGATGTCTCTGCTGTATTTTCTAAGGGATTGTTCACGGGATTGCAAAATTTCAACACTATTCAAGTGGATGAAGAAAGAGTAAAACCAGGACTCCCTTGCAGACCCCGGGGAGCCTCGCCTGGGCCTGGGACAGGTGAGGAGAGGAGGCCACACCAGACCTGCCTGCACAGCACAGCGGGGAGCTTTCCTGTGACCCAGAAATAGAGGTATTTCACGCGAAGAAACATGGGGACACTACAACTGCTCTCAGGTGCCCTGCCTACTGCACACCCACCCCTGGCTGGGGTCCCAAAGGGTCCTGGGTCCACACAGCCCAAAGCAGTTCTGCTCCACTGTCCTTGGTTCTGGTCACCACTCTGCAAATCTAAGCAACCAAGTCAGGACCTGACTCAGACTCATACAAAGACCTTCTGTCCTCTCATCTGTCTTGCTGAACCTTGATCTCAAGTGGGCTCAGACTCTGGTGGGGAATCCCAAGGGGAAGCAGAGGACATGGAAGGCTCCGCACCCTTAGAGGTTGGAGTGAGGATAAGTTAACTCTTAGGATGTTCAGACCGACTCATGTATCATTCAAGAAGGCCATTTATAGCCATAACGGAGTAGAGTCAGACACGAGGCTGAGAAGCAGTCACTTTATCACCTGGGCAACAGCGTGGGGAGGATAAGTGAGTCATCCCACACGGGGCCGCGTGTCAACCAACCCTGGCTACAAAACAGCAGCAACACGGCAGAGGCCACCGGGTGCCACCACGAAAGTGAGGAAATGGGTCCCAGTAAAGACCCAAATCTCGGGGGCAATATCAGCCTCGGCAGAGAGGAGACACTCTGAAAGCGTGAGTAT